GGCTGTTCAGTCTTTCCTTGATAAGTTATGGACATTGTATTCGATATCTGCTTTACTAGCATAGAACCGTTGAGAATCTGAATAATCTAATTTCAAGCAGAAATTACGGCCATCGATAAACTTTACAGTCACTAGATATACCCCAAAACTTGAGTTCGAATGACCGTATTGCTGCTAACGTATTTACATTTTAAATAAACATCTTTTTTTGGATTGTGTTTTAGAAAGGAAAGACATTTCTATGACAATCTAATACCTCAATATGGATCATCTAGGTTCCCAACAATTCAATGCTCATAGGACAAGAGCTGAGTAAAACAGTCGTAGCTGAACAAACAAAGATCGGAAAATCAAATTAAAGCAGATTTAAAAAATTAATTACACAGTTGCAAACGTTCCCTCGTACGTGATACTTTCACTTTATATAAAACTTTTCAATATTAACAGAATTATCCTTTGTTCTTTTGCACTATAAGTTTATCTTTACCCGACAAGTAATTCCGGTGATCGATACCATCGTGTAGCAACCTAAAATAAAAATAGAATGAAAAACACAAACGAAAATTAAAAAAAAAAAACAAATTTTTTACATAATCAGTATAATAATCAGCCATTGATTTTGTATTACAAAATCTTGCAAAACCAAAATCACATAATTTTAAAATAAAATTTTCTGATATAAGTAAATTTTCTGGTTTAATATCACGATGAATTATTTCATGTTTATGACACCAATGAATAGCACTAAATAATTGATATGATAATCGACGTACATGATCCAATGATAGACCTTCAGGATGTTCTTGTAAAACTTGTAACATATTCTGAAAGAGAAATTTTATGATTAAAATGAAGAAAAAAAATTACATATTCAACTAACCCATTCGACATATTCGAATACAAGACAACATCGTTTCTTATCACGAAACCATTCAATTAATTCTACAACATTTTTAAATCGAAGTGATTGAAGAATTTTTAATTCACGTTCAATAACATCAGCATCAGTATGATATCCTTTAAAAAAAAGCAAATTATAAAGAAATAATATAGAATATTCATTAAATATCAAACCAGGAGCTTGTTTAAAATATTTTATGGCAACAAGTGTGTTTGAATCCTAATTGAAAAAGAAAATCATTTTGCTTTCTTTCTATTATGAAAACATACTTTTTTTCGAGCTTTAAGAACAACGCCGTACGCACCTTATAAAAAAAATAGAAGATTAAAAGATAAAAAAAGAAGAAGTTTGCAAAATCTACCTTCACCAATAAGACCAAGTATTTCATATTTGTCTTTAATCTTTCGTGGCACGTATTTCATTATCGATCACTGCGGTTTTTTTTTTCAAATATCGTGAAAAAAAAAAGAAAAGAAATCTCACAAAGAATTCTTATAAGCAATCGATCGATGTGTTTGTGTATCTTTCTGTACGACTATTAACAGTCTGAAGCCTATAATTGTGATGATGCCGATGGCAGCATGATCGTCTTTTTTGTTTGTTTTATTTGCTTGCTTTGTTGTGTCCTTTTTTTGACGTTTTCTATACTTGTTTTTTTTTCTTTTCAAGAATTTTTTTAAACAATTTATGCTGAATCAATAACTATGACAATACATACAGTCGAAGGAACTAAGCAAGATATGTAAGCCGAAAAAATCTTCCTTAACTCATTTAGGTATCGTGAACTAATTATCAAGCACGAATTCTTATATTAATATAATACAATCATTATTTTATCTTTGATAAATAGCAGCATAACATATTCTAATTCAATAAAATTTAAATTTTTAATCTTATATAGGTAAATGTTTAACTTCGATTCTTTTAAGATTATAAATATGTTCATTATAGCTAATGAATTACAGACATATACAGCATCAATCTGTATAAGTAGATTACCATTTTGTTCAATCCAGAATCGATCTATTATTATCAGTTCAGCTGTACACAAAAAAAGCAATGTAATGCTCAATCTTGCAGCTCTCTTTTCTTGACTAATTGGTTTTGAAAACAACAAATGGAGCTATATGTTTTGATTGTTCATGATCTCCTTCAATTAAAACAATTAATTTTTATCGAAAAAAAAAGAGACTACCAAAGTACTTCTATTTGATGATATAGAGAAATATAAGAAATACGTCTTTATCGACCATCATCACATACTATTCATCATCTACCTAATGTTATTTAATTAATGACAATGAACAGCATCGTTATTTTTTTTTTAAATCGATTTCATTTTCTTTCTTCCTATATTCGGTCCTTAGAACAAGAACAGTCCAAAATATTCATCTAAAAATCATGTTAGTTGGATTTTATTGGACATTTCAGCATTATAATGATATTGTATATACAATGAAAGATATTTTGGTTAATATTTTGAATAAAAATCATTTCATGATTCATGTCTTTGCCTATTTTCGTTTCAACGTAATTAATTGTTAATTAAAAGATAGAAACATTGTTAGTGGCTTGTTCACGTAACTCGATACTACGTTGATCAAGGTTTTGAAAAAATTTTTCTCCAAGTTGGACATATCTGGATGTATTATTGGGTTCAGTTTTTCAACAAGAATTATTTCAAAAAAATTTGATTGATATACCATTTAATGCAGAATTTAAAACTATACAACATGACCTTTTGATTTGTGACTTTCATTGTCGAGAATAAGTTAGACATTCTTGCACACTGTTCAAATTACTGTGCAGTTAATAAGTTCCTGTGTTTATGTAGCGACATCATTTTTGGGTCGAATAATTAGATATACAGAAAAAACCAATATTTATAAACACTTCATATTTGCGCAGAAATAGTTTAGAAAAAATTTTTGACTGCTTTAACTCCTTGTTCGATGCTCTAAAGCACCATCTCCAGAAACATTTCATTTGGAGAAATATCTTCGCAAGAAATTAGAGTTTTATCAACGGCACTGGATGGATAGAGTCTTTTTAAATAACAGCGTCACATTTGTACAAGCTGATGTACTTCATGAATAGCTCAGTCATTGACAAATAAATATAGATGACCATGTTCATCAAATTCAGTGCACCTCAAATGAGTTTTTCCCTTTGTATTTCTTACTTTAGACTATTACATATTGCTTTGTTTTCTTCAAGCATGAGTATACGTCGAGAAACTACAACTTTTACTACATCGCATGATATAGTAATCGGTAATAAAAAAAAATAGAAATCAAACAAGAAAATAACAGTAAATAGGATTGAAAAACTATAATCATTTCAGCAAATGATATCTATGGTAAAATTTTGAGATTTCTGTCATGCAAACTAGAAGAGCTAGATAGGATCCATTGGAGCTGAGTAAACGAACCCACTTTCTTACCTTATATCCGTTTGGAAGATTTTCAAATCTTATTGAATCTAAAGTTATGGCTATAGACACCGATCACACAAGCTCTGAAAGTTTCATTCCATTTCTATGAAGTTGATATAAACCCTGATGCATTCTCGAAAGAAGTACTTTATCTCGACATGAATTGCATGTCAAGTGAAACAGGATATCTCACAAATGTAACATTGGAATGATGTGTACGATCAGCAAAAGCAAGACACAGCTCGTAAAATGTCAAATAATTCAATGTTTTGTTGAGAACTTGTGTGGAGAGAAACTCAAACGAGGAATTCATGATATTTTTGAGTGGCATCAGAGAACGACTAAACGAAATAGCTTGACTTTCGAGTTACAACACACTATCTTTTTAGTCTAAAAAAGAAACAAAATTAAGTTCTAATTTTTATTGGCAATAAGCTGCTCTCGTTCCTTTCTTTTTTTTTCTACGGAACAAAGTAGTATTCACAATCTATTGTCAGCAAGCAGATTTCGGCTGAATTAGATTTTAAAACTTCTATACAGTTGATAGAATAATAAAGCATAAGTCGAGATAATTGTTTTAATTACAAGCCAGTACAAATCAATTTCCTATCCGTCATGGAAATAGTTGAGATGTTCTCTGTAAACATGTGATCATAGTGAAATATTTACATTTATAGAAGCACGATCAAACATTATATGATCCTATGCTTGAATTTTCAGAAAAATAAACAGCTACAAGATTCATGTATAGAAAAGTAATGTTTGTCATTGAACTATATTGAAATCAATTGTTGTGCATTAAAATTGAATGCCATCTACGTTTATGGTGGTCCATAAATTATAAAAACAGAAAACAGTAGAAGTAATTCATAGTGGTCGAAAACCAAGAATTAAAAGTTCTTTCATTTTAATAAAACTATTTTAAATGATGCACAATTAATTTAACTTGAATCAAGATTAAGACTCAAATGAAAATTGAGGGGTTATGATTGTAGACATTCATGGTCAAATTTCAATAACAACTGAATTTTGTTTTTATCAAGTCATTTTTTAAGTTTGTACTTTCAAATCCATTTGAACGTATGATCAACTCTGACACAAGAAATCTCATCCGAAAAAATTGCGTTTTATTTTTACTGTAAAACTAACATGTGAAACAATAAAAGTATTGTTATTTACTTAGATGACATTTATCTTTCTCTCTTTCTATTCCGAAAAGCAAAATTATTCACTCCTACGAAGTGAATGGTAGTACTAAATAGAAATAAGCAGACACCATCGAGCAGAGACGTCCATGAATGCCTTAACCTTTTCCGTAGTATTAAATTTGAGCGTTGAATTCAATTCAATTTTCCACATTCAATCATCTGTTTTTGTGGCATCTGTTTGCTTGTTTTGTTTTAAAATACTCGTGTTTCACAATCATAAAAACAAGTGTGATTCATTTTTTTTCTCGGTTCATTCATGGTTGCTTCAGCAAAGACAATACTTTTTTTCGATACTCAAAGTATAGTCATCGATGTTGCTGCGCAATATTGATGCCATTTTCTAATGTTCGAGTATCTTTTTGTTTCATATTTCTTTTTTTCTGTTCTACTAAAAAACATACATATATTCCAAATTGCGCTTCGAACCTCTCATTCTCTATCCAATACTTTCAAAACGATGTCATTAACAATGGATCATGAATCGATACTCCAAGGTGTAGCAAGCTGACTGTTTCATAGACTTTTTTCATCTTCTCTATTGATGGTTTTTATTTAGAAGCTAAAGCTGGTCTCCAGAGACTTAATAAGAGTGCGATCACAGAACTCATGGCTTTCCGTCAACCACCTGCTGGTGTTGTTCAAGTACTCGAAGGTGTAGCTGTATTGTTAGTTCCATCGAAACGAATATATGATTGGAAAGACATCAAAATATGGTTGGGTAGTAATCCCAATAATCTTGTAACGATGTTGAAGAATTTTGAAGTTGATCAGCTCACTGAAGAACAATTGCAACGTCTCATATCCATTCTAGCTTGCAAAGATTGTGAACCAGAGCGTGTTTTAAAGTGTTCTATTGCAGGCCATATGTTATGTATGTGGCTTAGAGCAATCGTTCAATATTCAACAGTGCAGCGACAACAACAACAACAACAACAAACTGTATAAAGAACAATTACGTATTGCATTGAACTGAGCGCACTTCTTCACGGTAATAAATTAAATGAGATCAATGAGTTATGATTAAAACTTCAAAGCGAGAAATTCAAGCGAATAAGTCAGAACGAAGTGCGGTATTATATTAATAGCTTATATTGTGATGTTTTAGATACAGAAAAGAAAAAGCTTGTCTTTTCAATTAAAAATGCTTTCCAAAACAGAAATAAAGATATGTTGGATATAGATACCAATGCTATCTTCTCCAAATTTGCTCAGTTTTCGATGAATGGAAGCATATATTCTTATGAGGTTCGGATTTCTCATTTGTAAATGATGTCTTTAAAGTTATACTTCTATTCAGCGAGTACAGGGTAGAACCAAGGCAAGTTTTGGGCATTACTACAGAACCTCTAAGCAGCTTCCTTGTGTTAGAGCTATCTTCATTGTCTTGCTTTCTACTTTCTGAGTATTGAACGAGGGTTACGTGATCTAGCATATTCTCAAATTTTTGTAGCGTTTCATTGAGTATTAACTTTAACTGAAATATCGTGGATTTGCACCGTGAGGTTACCCATAGGTAGTAATTGAGAAAAAGGTTCAATATTTGTACAAAAGTTCTTGGAGAGATATGTTTCATAACAGAATAAGAACATTATCTAATTTCAAAATATCTAAGACGAGAAAATGATATCATATTTACATGATTAATAACCATGGCGATATCTGTTTGACTATCACTGCGTCGTAAATGAAATCCACCAAAAAAAAAATGTGGCAAGTTATCAATGAAATCAAACTTAGATAATCAAATTTGTAAAAATGTGAAAGTATCCATTTCGATGAACCATGATGTATTATCAGGCAATTTTGGTGGATACAGATAAGTAAAGTGTTCGATTTGAGAAACCTGAAAAGGAAAAGTTCAATTTGTTTAGGTTTATAACTGTCACCGAAATGTGTAAGAAAAACGATTTGATCTGGTCGATTCTTTGTTTCAGATACATTTTCAAGTGTCTTGCACATAGAAGAGATGTTTTCAGAATTACAAATATAGCTATAATCAATAAAGATTGAAAATGTGGCAAATTTTCTCTAAGGAAGTGGAAACTTTTCTCTTCTTCCATTGCGATTTCTGAATACCTAGTTTTGACAACGAAGCTGGTAGAATTATGTGTTTTTCTCAGACATAATACATCTGATCGAGCTAAAACATTTTCTACAAGTACTAATTAGCAAAGATAGGTTTGATTCAAATTTTCAGAATTCTATTTTTAGTCTTTATGTTTATCTTTTCACAAGATAAAGATTCTACTATTTATATATATCAATGTGAAAAGAATTTTTGTAAACTATACTACCTACACGACCATCAAAAGTAATTCAATTCTGGTCTCAAAACAATGTTTTATTCTCTACTACTGTATCTTTTTTACGAAAGAAAAATGTTTCATTCATCTATATAGATACGAATTTCGACTGTCGCATTGCAAAAGCACGACAAAAATATATAGATACATGTCTTGAATAGAGCATGTAATTATGAAGAGTTCTACGTATTACCGAAAACAAAAGTAACATGCTATCTAATTTTCTTTCAAACTTTTAGTTTCATTTAAACATGGTTGAATCAGCTTTGCATTGTTCAATCATAATATTCAATCAATTTTTTTCAATTAAATTATCAAATCAACTTTCTTCAAGTAATTACTTCGTCTAAGAAAGAGAATGTCTAACTCCAGCGTAGTTTCCAGTGTTTGATTGATCAAAAATTTTTCATAATGAATAATTCACTGAAAAAGAGAGATCTCTACGAGAACCCAACTCAGACAATGTGACCATTGTAGAGCTTAGGTTGTGCCATTTGTAAACTAGATGACTCGAGAATCATCACATTGAGGATATTTTGTTTCTATTCGATGTCCCAAAAGTTCGTTGCGAAACCAAACTGGAATAACTCTTCAACAACTCAAGCAAGTGGCATGAGCTTTGCATTGTTTGATGAGTTAGTCTCTGAACTTTTATTTCACATAATTTGATCCACAATTGCTGTTTAAAAGGATCACCATCAACTGAAAGACATGAATCCATTCTTGTCGAAACATTGGTAAAAGTAGCGCATAAAGCTTCTTCTGAGTTCATCTTGTTCTCATCATCGATATTTCTTTACACATTAACAATCTGTTTTGTCGTCAAATTTATATCATAGGACTTGTTCCTATGTAAATGAAAAAATGATGAAAATAAGATGATCTGAAAAAAGATTTTATGCACTGTTTTTGCAAATGTTTCGAGAAGAATGGATTTATGAGGGTATGAATTAAGACGAAATCTATACCCACACTCTGTATCTGTAGTCTATGTAGTCGCTATCGAAAGCCTTCAACGAATTTCAAAACACTTCATATCTTAGTTCAAAAACTTTTGATCATATATATTCTCACATCGTTGACTAAACAAAAGATGACAATTCTATCAAATCAAGACTTTTCTCTTATTCGAGCAACTAAATTTGTAATTATTTTCCTCTTCACAGTCTGTCAATTTATAATTCCTGTAAACAAAATAAAAATGGATGGTGATTTTTATCAGCTTAATCTAATTGACATAAGTGTAGCTTTTTTCCAAAAGGATAATCATAATAATCAAGTATCAACAAGAAACAACATCATAGAAGTAGAAGAGTCATAGAGGTGGATGCACGAAGAAATATTCACGCATGACGTTGCTTTTCTTGTAGTTTTTTCTTCATCTATTAATGATCATTGTTACGAAAAAAACTTTAATTACTTTTTTATGAATGGTGAAAATAGAAATTTAAGTTGATGAAATTCAATGTGCCGCGAATGTATGAAATATTTGAGATTTTGAAGTGTTTTGCCTTTATTACAAAACTCATACATGAAATACTATGATTCGAATCCGAGGAAACAAAAAATGATCAAAGAAACAAATTTATAGTCACAAGAGATTAGAGAAACTATCTGTAAGATAAAATTATGCGAAAGAATTGTTAATATCTTTTTGAACTTATTTTCGTTCTTTCTTTGGTATTTCAGAATAATCCATTTTCATTTTCTTTCTTTGACATCGAAAATTCTTGACAAACAATATTCATCGTACAAATGACGTTGAAGAAATCTACTAATTTATGCCATTGTTTTGTAATATATTCTTTCAATTTTTACTCATTTGCATTCACTTAAACATCGAAAAAAAAAGTACAACAACAATATAAAAATTCTCGAGTTATTGCACAGCATTGAAAACAGTCTAAACGGAAAAGACAGAAATCGTTAAAACCATCTCTTTTGAAAGAAGCTGAATTTATTTTTGTGTCATTTTGATAAGACGTGGATTGAGTAGGATCATCATATGAGATTCCATATGAATTTGTGGATGAATCAGTTGGTTGCATCATTGAATAAGATGGCGATGATAAAAGAGGTATATCTAATTTGTCTGAACTCATTTTCGGTTATTGACATGAAAATTGTGTATCTTCTCGATTATTGTATACATGTGTATGACATTCTATGATGCTATGTGTTTATTTATCTTTATTAACAAGTATCAAAGGTAAATGTGAGAAAATGGCTGTAACTTCAACAAACGAGTACGATTCATTTATGCTTATCCACTCATATTGCCTTTCCTTCACTAAGAAAAACGATTTTAACAGTAACTTTCGACCAACTGTCGGTGCTGAATTCGTCGCTTCTCTATTCTCAAAATCGAAATTTCTTATGTATTTCGATGAATTTGTAGATCATTCGTCAAATTGAGCTCGATCAAAAACAATTAAACTGCATATCATAAGTACTCTTTGGAATTTACTGAAGAGCAGTTTTGTTTCATTGCTCTAGTAAGAAACATCTCGACAAGCATAATTCTGCCATCTTCATTAGATTGAGATATGACTTTAACAAGACATTTAAAATGAGTGCTTCTCCCATAGTTAATTCAGCTATTTTATTTGGTATAAAATCAGGTTGATATATAAATGGTAGTGAATTCTTTGACACTTCTAACATATTGAATAGTATTACAGAGTTGCGCAAACACTTGACCAATGTTGATGGTCCAAGTAATTCGCCTCTACATATAGAGACTACATGAAAGCAGTTATAGTATAAATTACTCGATACGCAAGAGACATTGGTTCCAAGTAAAATACATGTCTTGCTGTCTTTTAGGCATCGTCTATCGCGATGCGACTTACGTCATTGTCATATATTTGATCTTACAGATCAAGTAAGTGAGAGGAATATTTCTTCTAGCCAACGCTGCTTCTGAATTGTGAGAAAGTAATTAATGATATCTCGAACTATTTGCAAGAGATCGATCTACATGTTCATTCAAATATAAAGAAACTGTTGATCACTAGTAAATGGCATTTATTAAGTAAAGAGTTGTTGATTATGCCAAGGGTAAAAAGAAACGAAAAAATTTCAATAAACAATTGAACAGACGATTTCATTTCATGACGGTCCTAGGAATATGCCAATGCGTTGAATATCCTGTATTTAAAAACATTAACTAAGAATTCGATCAGCATCGATGTGACTAATCAAAATTCAGCTGTGCTAGAAACCTGTGTGAGTGCTCAATCCGACACAACTGGCTTAAGAATTTCAAATAAGAGGATGAGGAGGTAATGATCTTTTCACAATTCACGATTCGTAAAGTAGTCTGTTATACTAGCGCCCTCTTTCATTATCCATTGAAATAAAATCTGTCGTAGCCGATAACTAAGGAATGACGCTGTGTTACACAACATGGTTTGTTGGTCGTCGGATGCTCGTTCTGCGGATGTGAATGACTAATAAAGAATAAGTCATGCTTTGTTCGGCATATAGCCGAACGCTCGAATAATAGAAAGAGACAGCAGAGAAAAATGAATAAAATGCGTTGGTATATTCTTGCTAAAATTAACACATCTCTCCCATTTGCCAACGTCTTCACTGATTGACACTTCTGAGAACTGAAGAATGTTCAAATTATTTAACTGA